TAACCCTAAGCCTAACCCTAACCCTAACCCTAACCCTAACCCTAACCCTAACCCTAACCCTAACCCTAACCCTAACCCTAACCCTAACCCTAACCCTAACCCTAACCCTAACCCTAACCCTAACCCTAACCCTAACCCTAACCCTAACCCTAACCCTAACCCTAACCCTAACCCTAACCCTAACCCTAACCCTAACCCTAACCCTAACCCTAACCCTAACCCTAACCCTAACCCTAACCCTAACCCTAAAAGGACCTAGACCCTAGGCCCTAACCCTAGGCCCTAACCCTAGTCTTTCGGCGCCTTTGTGTTGTATATACATCTCAAGGCAGAACGCCCCGTCAGAGCCACACACACACATATATTACGGTCACCCCAGCGGCACCTCAGCGCCACCCTCAGGTCCACATGTCAGAGCAGTTATCACAAAGGCGGAGGGCCTCGGGCAGCTTCACTGAGGCGGTGGTGGTGGTGGACGGGGGACCTGGCGCGGGGGAATGAAGCCACCCCGGCCCGCCGGCGCCCGTGGGCCGAGCGGATGCGGGGCGTTGGGGGCGGGGGCGGCAGCCGCAGGGGCAGCAGCAGGACCGGGCGGCGGCGGGATGCTGGTTTGTGGAGGGGCGGGGCCGGCAGCGGCGTGGGCGGGGGCGGCAGACTCAGGGGCAGCGGGTGCAGCAGCGGCGGCGGCGGCGGCTGGGTGGACAAAGCCAGCCTGTGGAGCAGCAGCGGCGGCAGCGGCGGCGGCGGCTGTGATGCGCCTTTGCTCGCGGTGCAAGAAGAAGGCAAAGATAGGGCCACTGGAAGAGAGGGGAGCACGAACTGCTGGAAGACGTTGACAATCCAGGTAAAGAGAGGCAGCACCACCTCCTCGGTGGTTGGGTGATACTGCTCACGGCCGTACTGCATTCGAATGGTCCGGCAGCCAAACTGCCTGATGGCAGCTAGACCACCAGGGTCGTTCGGGTGAGGAATAGGGTTGTTCTTCGCCTCCGGGAAGGTCCCCGAAAAGGGCCCGGGGCAGCAGTTGCGGCCCCAAAATCAACAAGCCGGTGGGGGGTTAATCTAAGTTCCCCGGCCCGCCCCTTTTAGTTCCCAAGGGCGGGGCGCTGACGCCCCCCCCCCCCC